ATCACCTACGCCTCCAAGACCTTCACAGCAGCCGAGCGGAACTACTCTGTGGTAGAGAAGAAAGCTCTGGCCTGCGTGTGGGCGACCGAGAAGTTTCGGCACTACCTGTGGGGGCGCCGGTTCACCCTGCGCACCGATCACCAGGCGCTCTGCACAATCTTCGGGCCGAAGGGCTCCAACCGCGTCGGCCGGCGAGTCGCGCGGTGGGAGGCCCGCCTGCTGGAGTTCGCCTTTGATGTGGAGTATGTGCGGTCCGAGCACAACGGGGTGGCGGACGGCCTGTCCCGCCTCCCAGTAACGGACACCTGGTGGCCGGACGACGATACCATTCAGATCGCCTCGCTCGGGGTGGCGGCGGCGGCCGTCACAGAGGCAGAGTTCCGTGCTGCCTCGGACGCGGACGAGACCCTGCGAGCCGTCCGCGGGTTCGTGGCTGGGCAGTGGCCCCGCCGGAAGGAAATCGACCCGGCGGTGGCTGGTTTCTACCAGGTGCGGGAGGAGCTGTCCCAGCACGGCCAGCTGCTATTCCGCGGCGAGCGTCTCGTCGTGCCGGAGACGCTCCGTGAGCGCGTCCTCAGGAACGCCCATGAGGGCCACCAAGGGGTGGTCCGCACCAAACAGCGCCTGCGCGCGCAGTTTTGGTGGCCTCGGCTGGACCGAGAGGTGCGAGAGCAGCTGAGGGGCTGTCAGGTGTGCTCCCAGCATGACGAGCATGTTCGCAGGGAGAAGCCACCTCTGCAGCCCATTCCCCTGCCAGAGGGCCCGTGGGAGAGGCTGATGGTGGACATCATCGGGCCGATGCACGGTCCGCCGACCGAGAGGTACGGCATCGTGCTCTGCGACCTCTACAGCCGGTGGCCAGAGGTCGCGCTCAGCTCTGACGCGACGGCGAGCACGATCATCCAGTTCTTGGACACGCTATTCGCTCGCGAGGGGCTCCCGCTCGAGCTCATTTCTGACAACGGCCCAGCGTTCAGATCGGCAGAGCTCCGAGCATTTCTGACGAAATGTGGTGTGCGGCAGACGTTCAGCTCGCCGTACTCGCCGCAGACGTGCGGGCTGGTCGAGCGGTTGAACCGCACGATAAAAGGGGCCATTCAGTCGGCTCGGCTGGCGCGAGAGCCGCGCTCACCCTACCTGCGTCGGTTCCTGGGTGAGTACCGCGCCACTCCGCACCCCGCCACCGGGGAGACGCCGTTCCGCTTGATGAGGGGGCGGGAGGCGCGCACGACCCTGGACGTGCTGAAGCGGGACGCGCCCACCGGAAACAGCCGGAAACGCGCGGTACGCCGGCGGCACCGCCGCTATCAGTCGGCGTACAAGAGGAGGTACGATCGCACCGCGACCGCCGCCCCCAGGTGGGAGGCAGGAGACTGGGTACGGGTTCGTAAGCCAGTCAGCGGTCGGGTCGAAGGCCAGCCGGCGGTCCAGATCCGGGAGAGGACCGGCCCTGTGAGCTACAGGGTAAGCACGGGGGACAGAGTGCACGCCAGGCGTCTCGTGCCGGGGCGTGCCACAGAGGAGCCGGTAGTGGAGGAGCTACCGGCCAGCCTTATTCCGGATTCCTCGGTCCCATCTGGGAGCGCTGAGGGCGCTGTCAGTCCGCCCAGAGTTCGCCCTGTGTCACACGCCGCCGGGGAGCTATCCGTGCCTCGGGCGGATCCTCGGACCTCTCCTGTTTCTCCGCGCCGTGGCAGTCGCCGGCGCCGGGCTCCTGACCGGTTCACGCCGGACCGGTACCAGTAGGTAGGTCGAGGGGGCTGCCCCGAGTAGAGTGTGTTCCCTCAAAGGGAGGGGTGGTGTTGGAGTTTGTTTGTGCGCCGAATATGTCTCAGGCGCGCCGAAGTTGTATTTATTTATTACTCTGTTTAGTGCTGGATTTCTGTGACTGTATTACGTATATTTAGTTTCTTGTTGAAGAAGCGATCCTATATCTGTAATGTCGGATCGAGTTCTTTGGGTCTCCGTAGATTTAACGTCGAGCCCTGATAAGAGACTAAGTTGTAGTAGTTGTAGTTTACGCGGTCAGTGATGGCGAGTGAGGAGGACCCCCATCACTACAGTTTCATTCTCTTCCGGGAACGTGGTTATTGGAAAATGTAAACAATCGGTTATGTTGTGCTTTCCCTTGGCTTCTTCGCAATAAACCCGCACTCTGGGGTCTCCCGGGCGTGTGACGAGGTGGACAGATGAGGGGACACAACAGTGTGCAAGTTTGAACCTCCTAACTTTTAAGGTCAGGTCACCAGGTCACTTTGAATGACCCAACCTCAAGTCACTTTTTTGCAACTTTGTCACCGTGCCAGAGCTACAGTAGATGTCGGAGGCCTTTGAAAGTCGCAGGATGTTATTAGGTCATTAGTAGCTACAATTTGTATATCTCGGAATTTTGATGTCGGTGACCTAAGGTCAGGTCAATTTTGCGAGCTCCCCATTATAAGTCAATGGGGGAAAAATCAACTCCCTGTTTTTACCACTAAAACGGGTCGGAATGGCCCCATATACCATAAATGACTTCATATACGATCAACCTTCACTACCTTGAGCCTTGAGGTCTGTTTTGCTGTTGGGCAGCTGTAAGGTCATGTGACGTCATCAAAGGTCACCAGCGGTTTTTTGCCAATAACTCCGTACAGGAACAAGATACAGCCGCGCGGATGGATTCATTGTGTTCAGCTCGTCAAGACGCATCGAATGATATACATGATGACCTCGAGGTCACGTGACCTGAGGTCAACCTTTGACCTTGACCTTTCGAGGTCAACATATATATCATTCGATGCGGATTGGCGAGAGGATCACGATGATGCCCTTAGTTTGTTCCTATCTTGACTAATTCGAAAGTTATTCGAGAAAAACTCTCCATATCTAGCGCCGCCATTTTGACTTTTTCGACCCCTGTGACGTCATCTTTGACCTGACCTGAAAATGACCTTCGTAAAAATTGTAGACCTTGTCCGTGCGTATCCGATGCCGTTTACCGCTTGTCGCTATCTTGCTTCGTTCTCGAGATCTCAGGGGGGGGCGGTCATCCGCCCCCCCCCCCCCCCGTCGGTGCGAAGTTGGCGCAGACCCCGTCGGTGCGCGGGTTAAAATGCCATAAGGCGGTTCGGATGCGTGCGGGATTTCCGAACCGGTTGTGCGGGGAGATTTGGGGAATCCCGATCGGGATCGGAGTTAAGCGCTTGTTAACCCTATTCCTGGCGGGGGGGCCTCAGGAGCCCCCCCCCCCCCCTGAGGTTTTTTGGTTATTTCTCCCAAACGCGTTGAGCTAGGAAGCTCAAATTTTCTGACTTTTCCTAAAAGGCTTCTACGCAACATGTCTGAAAATTTTGAGTTGATCTGACCTCAGGTCAGGTCACCAGAGGCGGTTTGGTGACCCTACCTCAGAAAAGTTTGCAATCACGCCAGAGCTAGAGTTTTTGACCGATCAATTTCTTCTCTTCAGGCTTTAGTTAGGGTACCAGTATGTGCAATTTGTATATCTCGGAATTTTGATATCGGTGACCTAAGGTCAGGTCAGTTTCGCGACCTCCCCATTATGAGTCAATGGGGGAAAAATCAACTCCCTGTTTTTACCACTAAAACGGGTCGGAATGGCCCCATATACCATACATGACTTCATATACGATCAACCTTCACTACCTTGAGGTCTGTTTTGCTGTTGGGCAGCTGTGAGGTCATGTGACGTCATCAAAGGTCACCAAAGGTTTTTGGCCAATAACTCCGTACAGGAACAAGATACAGACGCGTGGATGGTCTCATTGTGTTCAGCTCGTCAAGACGCATCGAATGATATACATGATGACCTCGAGGTCACGTGACCTGAGGTCAACCTTTGACCTTGACCTTTCGAGGTCAACATATATATCATTCGATGCGGATTGACGAGAGGATCACGATGATGCCCTTAGTTTGTTCCTATCTTGACTAATTCGAAAGTTATTCGAGAAAAACTCTCTCCATATCTAGCGCCGCCATTTTGACTTTTTCGACCCCTGTGACGTCATCTTTGACCTGACCTGAAAATGACCTTTGTAAAAATTGTAGATCTTGACCGTGCGTATCCGATGCCGTTTACCGTTTGTCGCTGCGATGTGTAGTTTTTGAGATCTGAACGGGGGGCCGAATCGGCCCCCGCCAGTTTCTTGTCCCGGCGGAGCCCGCCAGGAATAGGGTTAAAACGTCATAAGGCGGTCCGGATACGTGCGGGATCTCCCAACCGACCGTACGGGGTAGGTTGGGATATCCGGATCGTTCCAGCCCGTACAAAGTGTCTCATTTCCCAATCCTGTCCCACTCCGGTCCCGATCGGGGTGGTGCGGGCTGAGTCCGAAAATCCCGATCGGCAACGAAGTGGGATTGCTGACTGGGACGGGGCGCGGGCTAGGTCAAATTTTAAAATTGACCTTTCAAGGTCAACAAATAGTTCATTCGAAGCGTCTCGACGAGAGGAACACAATGCTGCCAAAAGTAATTTTGTGGCTGTGTGAAGTCAAAAGTTATTGCCAAAAAACATTCTTTTGTGAAAACGGCCATTTTTACAGTTTTTGCTCTGCAGGGGCTTAGAGAAACGACCGTGGAAGGAAGGACAATGGGCCAGAAAAATGAAACTTCGCTCATATGATGCTGAAATGCTCCGCATCACTATGGTATACGTAATCGGTCTGTAGAAGCTGAACCGTGTCCCCAGCGGACACAGTCTCGTTTCTTTTTGGTCACACCTCGTATCTGAATAAATGTAATATTTTGTAGGTACCTATCCTCTTGAAAAAAAAAAAAACAAATCCGAAAACCTTTAGCAATGATAATCATATTTTTTTACTTTCCGTGAGTTGCAGGAGCAAATGAAAATGCCATATTTTAACCTTTACTTAGCTAATTATTTGAAAGCTATATTTTATCATTTCCGGTAACAATAGGTAAGAAGCATCCATTAGAGTACCTATCGTAGGCCGGTATTTTCCTTTCTGTCTGATGGAGGCGTTAATTTTACTTACAGTTCCATGTTGATATTCACCCGTGTGGGCTTCTGGAGCCATCCAATCCAGGGTACCGACACCAGCTGTCATTTTCAGCTTGCTGGCTGTCATCTCCTTGGATATGCCAAAATCGGCGAGCTTTGTCACGATCTCGCCTTTTTTGCTTTTAACCAGCATCATGTTCGACGGCTTGATGTCACGATGAACTGTGAAACGCATATAGATAATTGGTTTGTATTTTTGGTTAGCACGATATGAAGTGTTCACGTATTTGATTTCCAATATGCAAAGCTCACACTGGAAACGCCAGGGTTACGTGAAACACCTTTTTAACTACCAACTCGTAACTCTTTGTATTGTATTCTGCTATGTTGAGAGTTTAGGTTAAACCTCGCCCGTATTGGTGTTTTTCCAGCCGCGAACGTACAAGGGGGGGGTCCGTTGGACCCCCCTTGCCGTTTCGCCCCTGATCGAGCTAGAGCTTCGCGGAAAAAAACGAGCGAGTTGCCGTGACGAGAGGAAGCCGATGATACCCAATTTTAAGGTCCTAGGTCATTGGTTGACCTTGCAGGTTAGGTCAATGACCCCAAAGGCGGGAAAATCGGGACCTGTTAGAACGTCGTAAAGTGTGGCTGCTATGGGGTTTTCGGGGAGCTGATCACGAATATCACGTTAGTTTTGATAACAGATGATGTCTTTATGCATTTAGTCCAGGTCGGGTCCCCCCCCTCGACGTTTCGCCCCCTAGTGGAGCTAGCGCAAAAAAAAAACGAGCGTCTGCGTCGTTACGAGACGCAGAGATTGATACCCGATCTTAAGGTCAACCGGTGACGTCTGAGGTCAGGTCAAGTGCCCCAAGGTGCGGTTTTGTCTTTGGTGAATAATTTCGCAAAAACGGTCGCAGAGCTGCGATTTTGGGAGCACCGTCCTCGCCTCGCTCAGGCGTGTCCAATGGTATACTTTTTGTTTGGGTGAGGTCAACTTAGGGTATTGACCTCGGGTCACGGTTTGGTCAGCGCACCCAGGTCAGGAAAATGGTCGAATGAGGTCATATCGCATGTCATTCGATTCAGCAGGTCTTACTGAGTCCATTGGTCGCTTTCGACTCGCTAGCTCAATTTGATTAATAGTTATTGACGAAAAACTAATATGACCCTAATGACATCATAAAGGGCGTCACGCAAGGTGAGCATTGCAAAAGTGATGCATCCAACCTTGCAAGGAGTGCATGAAATCACGAGCATGTGTGCATGAGATAGTTGGAGATCATTCCCGGCGCCAAAATAGCAGTTTTCTTTTCTCCCCATTGACTTTGATGGTGATTGGTGAAGTCACGAAAATGACCTGACCTCATATGACCGTTAGAAAAAATCCGAGTAATACAAGTTGTGAGACTCATAATGGATACTAGACTAAATCCTGCAAGCTTCATTTCCCTGTGAAAGCTCTTCTGGCAGTGAGGGCGTTGCGAAGTTGCGACATCTGAAGACCGTGCAGATGTTCACTTATGACGTCATAGGTCAGTGACCTGACCTGACCCGAAAATATGGTTGGAGTCAAAAGATCCAGATTGAATCAAAGGTCAGGTATAATGCCAACTTTCAGCTCTCTATCTCTGGCGTGTTCGGAGCTATCGCGAAAAAAAACATATGGGGGCGGCACCCGCCGCCCCCCTCCCCTCGGCTGGCCCATATAGGGGGGATCGAACGGTTTTTCGCGAAAAACTCGCGTAAAAAGCGGCCGATCGCAACGAAACTTTCAGTACCCTCGAGGTGATCAATGTTACACCTACTCCTAAAATTTTATGACCCTGACCCAAATGACCTTTGACCTGTAACCTACTTTTCGAGACCATGTTTGGCCGGAATCGCGATTCGGCGCATGTCGGCTCGCATTAGCCGCGCTTTTGCAGTCTTTTCGTGGTTTGAAGCGTTCAAACATGTGATATGCTGTTGCCCCCATGCATTAGCGTGGGTGTCAAGGTAACCTGAAGGTCAGGTCAGGTCATTGACCTTTGATTATCTCGGTTCACTTTTTATAGTTTTACATGTTTCTAGGCCAGTTTTTGGAGCTGAATACGAATTTAGCAACCATATGAATATTTACGAAGTTGTTTTGGTGCCTTCGTAACTTGTTACGAAGCTGTCAGAGGCGGCTGACACCCACTACAAATACCCGGCAGGACCCCTACTGGTTGACCTCGGACCTAACCTGACCCGACCTGGCCTAAATGCATGAAGCCATCATCTGTGATCAAAACTAACATGATATTCGTGATAAGTACCCCGAAAAGTCCCATAGCAGCCACACTTTACGACGTTCTAACAGGTTACGATTTTTCGACTTTTGAGTCATTGACTTGACCTGGAAGGTCAACTAATGACCTAAGACCCTCACACTGGGTATCATCGGCTCCCTCTCGTTACGGGCAACACGGTCGTTTTTTTTTCCGCGAAGTTCATACATCAACACTATCAATAGCATTGGGCGGTTGTAGATACCACCTATACCTAACCTAACCCAAAAGATTTGCAGATTGACATTTCGGTAAATTTACATTTCAACTAATCAACATTTCGGCAAATTTACATTTCGACTAATCGACATTTCGGCAAATTGACATTTCGGAAATTTGACATTTCAGCAAATTTACAATTCGACTAATTGACATTTCGATTCGACTAATTGACATTTTTCGACTAATCGACATTTCGGACAATCGTATTTCAACAAATTTACATTTCGGCTAATAAGCATTTCGGCAAATTGGCATTTCGGCAAAAAGGCATGTCGGCAAATGGCATTTCGGCTTTTAGCATTTCGACTTTTTGACACGTCGGCAAAAAGCACATCGGCAAAATGACATTCGGCGAAATGCATTCGGCAAATCACCTTTCGGCAATTTGTCCGGACACCTCGCCAAAGTAAGTGCATGTTCAAAAAAGAGCCCAAGAGCACTCTGAATTCCTCTGCCTCAGCTCATGTGTACATAACGTTGACGTTCCCCTTGAAGTCTGACTACATATCTCTTTAGTATAACTAATAATTATCAGGCAATCCAGATTCCAGATATTTTCAGAATTGACTGTCCCCCATCGCTCCATCGCTTGCCGTCCATCGCTTGCCTGTCGCGTGCCAAGGCCGTCAGGTAGCTACCAAGCCATAAATCGGTGTGCTTCGTACAGATCTAGGCTAGAACTGAATGCAAAGTAGTGAATGTAAATAATAAAACTCACCGATGTTTTGCTGGTGCAGCCATTCAAGTGCCTTTGACGAATCACGAAGAATGCTGATTTCATTGAGATTGTCAAGCTCGTCCACACCAGGTTTGATCACTCCCTGCTTCCTTTCCGCGTAGTCTTCCACCGTGCCCAGTGCCAACTCCATCGCAATATAGTAGAAGTTCACAGATCTCTGCGTCGTAAAGTACCTTAAATATGAGTGAAAAGGGGCTTTAAACCTGGTTCTGCTCACCGGGTGTTTGAATACGTCCTGAGGCTTTCCGCAAAAACCTAAAAGAAACGGCGACTGGCGAAACGTACAAATATGTACACTTCAAGATGCATAGTCATGTGGCTGATGCATTGGTCAGAGAGGGATTACCTGATGACCTTGACGTCTTCCTCTTCGACTTTCAACAGGTTGCCAACTTCATTTTCTATCAGTAGTCGCTCTTCTTTAGTGCGGTAATGGATGCGCTTTATCGCCACTTCTTGCCTCATGTCGCATTGTCCTCTGTACAGGGAAGATATGTAGTACAAGTGGCATGCATGTCAAGCAAGATCAAAATTAAAAAAAAACTAGCAATGGACCTAGCAAAGACAGAAAGGAAGCCAGTGTAGGCATTTATTGCACCCATGTAGTATCTATCACAAATGCTAGTCCTTGTGAGTCCCCTAGCGTGATCTCGAAAAGCTCCATTAGTATTGTCAGTTTTTAACAGGAAAACTTTGTCATATTCATATGGCCTTAATACAAACCGAAGTCCAAAACATTGCAGACGAAAATTAAAAAAAGGGCATTGTATGAACGACACCAGACACCAAAGTCCGCAGCCGTAACAAGCTATATGACACGCTTCTACTTACCGAAAGACCGTAGATAGGGCACCCTTCCCCAAGAAGCCGCTTTGACTGAACGTGATGCTCCCAACGGTGGTGATGTCTCCGTCAATTTTTTCCTGTCGATAATATTACTTTCAACTGCGCTTTGCTGATGGCCTATGTTTTCCGTGCCGTGCTGGGGGGGGGGGGCGCGTTTTCACGCCCCTCTTCTAACTCGGCTCCTGGGCCACGTAGCGACACGCAGTAAGCGGTACTCAAAAGAGCGTCAAAAAATAATGAGGGAACACTTAAGTTTTTTTTTTTTTGGTCCAGTCAAAGGTCAGGACACCAGAGGTCATCAAATGTGAAATTTAGTCCATTTAAAAAAAAAATTGGAAACTGCCAAAGGCTAACTCGGGAACGTATAGACCTAAAGCACCGCGGAAAAGCGCATTCGATAGCCCTTTTACAGACCTTTCTGAATAATGACCTCAGATTTTGCCTCAGGTCAAGGGTTTAGCCTCCAGAGGGCAAAAAATCTAAAAACAGCCGTTTTCACGAAAAATGTTTTTCGGTAATAACTTTTGACTCAAGCAAGCCACATTTTTTGCCAGCATCGTGTTCCTCCCGTCGAGACGCGTCGAATGAACTATTTGTTGACCTTGAAAGGTTATTTTGAAAATTTGACCTTAGTTTAAGGTCATGACCTGACCGAAAATGGTCTTGTTGCATATCAATCGATCCGTATTGTCGAGCTGACTATATCTGACGTGTTTTCACCGCTCTAGCGCGTCTCTATCAAAAGTTATAGCAAAAAAAAACTGCTGGTGACCGTTCATGACCTGAGATGACCTCAGGGACACTCAGATGGGTCACAGGTGCATTTTATCGATTCGGATTGTCATGTTTACCCATGACCCAATGTTTGAGAGGGTTTTGAACGATATTCGTCCAAATGAGGCGCCTTTCAATTTTCTCCCGTTGACTTATAATGGAGAAGTCGCAACATTTACCTGACCTTAGGTCACAGAAAAAACTGAGATATGCATTTTATACATATTGCTATTCTAATCAATCGCTGAAAGTTTGAAAATGATCGTTCAGTCGGTATAGCTATAGCGAGCCTTTAATTTTTTTTTCTGAGGTAAGGTCACTTGACGTGACCTGGTGACCTGACCTTGAACGACCCTTGTCTGAAATTTTTACAACTTGTGTGGAAAAGATGCATGAACTCGGCATGCATGAAAACGGCAGCGTACAAAAAAACGGCGGCGTTCCGTTTTTTAGTATTCGCAAAAAAACTGAGGGGGCTTAAAACGCCCCTCCCCCCCCCCCCCGAAGCACGGCGCGGGTTAAGTTAACCGTCATGTGCCATGTCTCCCTTCAATTGAAGTACATACGTCGAATACCTTAAAAATGCATTTCATTTCGCGTTTCAATAAGTGTGTATTTTAGTTTTAACCCGCGCATGACTGGGGGTGGGGCTCTACAGAGCCCCCCTCCCGTTTTTAGCAATATTTTCTAAACCATTTGACGTATCAACACAAAACCTGCGGTACACTCAGAGGCATCAATTTGACACCTTGTGATAACATTTCAACTTTCTAGCTACCATAGTTTGGCCGGAAATGACGTCAGAGTGACGTCATGTCGGCCGATTTTGACGCAAAATACTGAATTACGGCAAACGCTCTCAAGAGCTCAGTTTTAAAGCTAGATCCATTTTATTTAGATGAGTGGACTACAAATACTCGTAGCTATCAAACTGCTATCTCGAAATTTTGAAATTTTGAAAAATATGTATTTACAATTACAAAAAACATATTTTTGATTTTTTCAAAAAGTCTTTGATTTTTTGCAAAAACCGGAATATATGTGATAGAACACACACTGATGAAATATCTTTGCAAGTTTTATCCCAATGTCTTCAAAAATAGCCAAGTTATTCGAATTATTGTCAAAATTTTACAATTTTATGTTTTTTCAAATCCATTTTTCAGTACGTTTTTCACGTCGTACAGCAATATAAATGGCACCATCGTGTTCCTGAGCTCAAAATGCATCTGAAAGGCACGTTTTTTGTTGAAAAATTTCATTTTCAAAATTTGGCCTTTTCTGACCTGAAAGTGACCTGACCTCCGGTAAATTCAGCTGACAATGACCTCAAATGACACAGACGACACTATTTTCGAAATCTACGAGTGAAATGGACCGTAAAACATGCGTCAAGTGACCGATACATGATATACAATTTTCGTGACCTAGGATGACCTGGCCTTGACCTTAAACTTTCGAAGTTAAAGTTCGGTACCCTCAGGTTATCTAAGGGATCCGTCAAGGAGTGCGTAAACCAAAAATGAGCCTGATCGGACCGGCGGTCCGGCGGTCAGAGCCTAAATTGTGAACTAGCAAAAATGTCGATAATTTTTAATTGGACCTGACCTGTGACGTCATCGGTGACCTCGAGGTCAATGAAAATACTTCGACCAGTTTTTCCAGGGCTATCAGACGCCGTTTGAATTTTCACGATCGGCCCAGTAGTTTCGGAGATAGGAGGGGGGGCTCTGGAGAGCCCCCCCCCCCCCCAGTCACTCGCGTTATGGAAAATACCCCACGTTACGCGGCACGGGTGGACATCGATAGCAGCGCATCTATCGGTCACTAGGGAAAGCTGGGCTGTAGGCGACAAAATACCGGCTGAGTTGTCACACGTTGAATAGGTTTATAGACATCCGTCTTGTGAAAAAGTTGAACTTTTGCCTTCAATATTTCTACAGGCAATTTTAGAAGTGATCTTCACATCTTGCAAGGCCGTTTAGATTATTGTATTCACTTCAAGCCTTCCTTATTGTTCTTGACGATGGTGCTGGAACTATTTATAATTAGTGTTTCTAGTTTAGTAAAAGAATATATTGTGCAATTGATGGAAAAACATAAAAGGAAGATTTTCAATGCAATTTTATCTAACAATTAATGGTACATTCTTTACACATAAAGGAAAAGTTGCATGCCAACTGATAATTTAAAGCTCTTGGGGCCGGATGATTTCCTCTTTTCTTACGTCGCCCCAATGGCCGCGAATACACTTGTGATAACGCCTATCGAGTCATGCGCGGGTTAATGGGTGCATACACTAGCATAGTAGGTGAAAATAAGCTACGCTATTTTCGAGTACATGACCATTGCACAAAAAAAAACACCATATGATTATTTACTTACATTGGTGATGGGCAGGGTGTGTTTTCCTGAAGAAGGTTGATCAGGCATCGCCATGTTCCGATCCAACCGGGAACCTGGTTACTATCCTGCAAAGGCAGTTCTTTTAACCCGCGCCCGGCTGTGGGTCCTGGATTTCCACGCCCTGCTGGGGGGGGGGGGGGTGTTTGAACACCCCCTTGTAACTCGGCTCCTGGGCCACGTAGCGATACGCGGAAAGCGGCGTTTGAAAGAGCGTCAAAAATAAAGACGAAATCACTTCGATCAATTTTTTGGTCAGGTCAAAGGTCAGGTCACCAGAGGTCATTGAAGGCAAAATTTTGCCGATTTCCAGGTCGAATGTCGAAAATTTCCATGAAGCCAACGCATAACTCGGGAACAAATAGAGCTACAGCGCCGCGGAAAAGCGCATTCGATAGCCCTATCAACGCCCTTTCTTAATAATTCCCTCAGATATGAACTAACGTCAACGGTTTTGCCTGCAGGGGGCAAAAACTGCAAAAATAGCCGATTTTTTTCGGAAACAGTTTTTCTGCAACAACTATTGACCCAAGCCTTGTACGAGCTTAATTTCACTGGCATCGTGTTCCTCTCCTCAAGACGCATCGAATGAACTATAACTTGACCTTGAAAGGTCAACTTGAAAATTTGACCTCAGGTCAAGGTCATGACCTGACCGGAAAGGGTCATGTTGCATATCAGTCGATCCGTATCGTCGAGCTGAACACATCTAAGGCGTTTTCATCGCTCTAGCATGCCTCTATCAAAAGTTATTTGCGAAAAACTGTAAGATACCATTCGTCACCTAAGATGATCTCAGGGCATAAACAAGGGTCACGGACACCATTTTCATGTTCAGTGTGTCTAAACCACTTGTAATTCGGTGTTTGGGAGTGTTTATAATGTCTTTCGTCCAAAAGAGGCGCATTTCATTTTTTCCCATTGACTTATGATGGCTCCGGAGGTCGCAAAATTGACCTGACCTTAGGTCATCGATATCAAAATTCTGAGATATATATTTTGTACATGCTATTGCTCTTAGCAATCGCTGAAAGTTTAAAAGTGATCAGTCACTCGGTGTAGCTATGACAGACATTGAAACTTTTTATAAGGTGAGGTCACTTCAAGTGACCTGGTGACCTGACCTTGAATGACCTTGATCTGAATTTTTCACAACATGTGTAGAATTGAGCTATGAACACAATTGAGAAAAACGGCTTTGAGATATTTGCGAAAAACCACAAGGGGGGGGTGTTCAAACACCCCCCAGCAGGGCGCGGGTTAACCTTCGCCCCAGTGGGGGGGGGGGCATATGTTACCACCCTGTCGCGTTTTTTGCGTGTGAATAAAGAACCGCGGCGCGTAGCACCGCGCCGCTTGGGGTAGCTTTTCGTACATCAATTTTGGACAATGTGTGAAATTTTTGACCCCAGGTCATGTCAGGTCAGGTCACCAGGTCAAGTTAACTGACCAAGCCTAAAAAAAAGTTTGCAATCATGTCCAGTCTGCAGTGTTTGTCAGAAAGGTTTCAAACTTGGTGAATTGCATGCTGTTATGGGCGCCTACAATTTGTATATCTCGGATTTTTTATATCCGTGACCTAAGGTCAGGTCAGTGGCGTGACCTTTCCATTACAAGTCAATGGAGAAAAATAAAAATGCCTCTAGATCCGTGTGTACACATAGGAACAGTCCAAATATTTCAGAATCACAATGACTTAGTCCACTCGTGATGACCAAGGTGTCATTTTTGCTGATAGCCTCTAGAAAGGTCATCCGAGGTCATTTGAGGCTACAAACAGTTTTTTGCCAATAACTCGCGATTGGAAAGAGATAGAACGCTGGGGTTGTTCTCATTGTGTTTGTCTTGTTGAGACGCATCGACTGATATGCAACATGACCTTTTCCGGTCAGGTCATGACCTTGACCTGAGGTCAAATTTTCAAGTTAACCTTTCAAGGTCAACTTATAGTTCATTCGACGCGTCTCGGCGAGAGGAACACGATTTTGGCAATATAAATGTCGTGGCTTTTTGTAGTCGAAAGTTATTGTCGAAAAACACTTTTCGTAAAAACAGCTATTTTTGGAGTTTTTGCCCTCTGGAGGCTAAACCGTTGACCTGAGGGCAATATTAATAATGACCTTTTCAAAAGAAGAGTTCAAAAGCTATCGATTGCTGTTCCATGCGTTTTTCTAGCTACCATAGTTCCTGAGATAGCGGTATGTTTTCTGAAAAATATAATGACGATTGGCAAATTTTGACCTTTGATGACCTCTGGTGACCCGAATATTGCTCTAAGGTGAAAAATGACTGAAATACTTTCAAACGTACGCATTGAGAGCTATCGACTGCTTTTTACCGCGTCTTTCTAGCCCTCTTAGTTTTTTAGTTAGAGGTGGGTGGTAACATATGCCCCCCCTCACTAGGGCGAAGTTGGCTGAGACCGCCACTGGGGGGCGGGTTAACGTCCCTCAAAACGATGACGTAAGGGCCGTTGGAGACTGGCGTATGGGTCATTAACCCTCGCATGCCCAGGCCATTTTGAGCCCTTCGACGGCACAAGGGGGGTACGACCCCCCTCTCGTTTGGCCCCTGATGGAGCTAGAGCTTCGCGAAAAAAAAAAACGAGCGCGTTGCCCGTCACGACAGGAAGGCAATGATACCCAATTTTAACCCTCGCCGGCACAGGGGGGGGTTGATGCAACCCCCCTAAGGTTTTTCGCGAATAACTCGCGTAAAAAGCGGCCGATCGCGACGAAACTTTCAGTACCCTCGCATTGATCAATTTATACCTACTCTGAAAATTTCATGACCCTGACCAAAATGACCTTTGACCTGTGACCTCTTTTCCGAGACCATGTTTGGCCGGAATCGCGATTCGGCGTAGGTACGTCGGTTCGCATTAGCCGCGCGTTTGCAAGCTTTTCGTAGTTTCAAACGTTCAAACATGTGATTTGATGTTGCTCCCATACATAAGGGTGGGTGTCAAGGTCACCTGAAGGTCAGGTCAGGTCATTGACCTTTGGTGACCTCGGGTGACCTCGGTTCACTTTTTCGAGTTTTACATGTTTCTAGGCTAGTTTTTGGAGCTGAATTTGAATTTAGCAACCATTTGAACATTTACGAAGTAGTTTTGGTGCCTCCGTAACATGTTACGAAGCTGTCAGAGACGGTTGACACGTATTACGAATACCCGTCACAACCCCTACCGGTTGACCTGACCTGACCTGACCCGACCTGGTCTAACTGCTTGAAGACATCATCTCTGATCAAAACTAACACGATATTCGTGATCAGCACCCAAGAAAACCACATAACAGCCACACTTTACGACTTTCTAACAGGTCCCGATTTTCCCGGTTTTCGGGTCATTGACCTGACCTGGAAGGTCACCCGATGACCTAGGACCTTAACCCTCGCCCTGGCAGGGCATTTTTCATAACACGGCCTGGCAGGGGGGGTCGATGCGACCCCCCCCCCCCCCCCTCCCCCCCCCTCGCGATTGGCTCCTATGGCACCTAGAAACACCAAATTTGGTAGGTAGGTGGGCCCCCTGGAGTTCTCGCCCCTGTGCAAATTTGGTTGCTCTAGGTCAATATTTAGGGTGTTTTGGGGGATATAAATGTAAAAATTTCGCTAAAAACAGGTCAAAAGTTTTTCACTTATAACTTTTGATCTAATTAAGATAGAGCAAAAAGAAAAGCACCAGTGAACTCAGCACGTCAAGGCGCGTCGCATGATATACTTTTTAGCTTGCTGAAGTGTACTTAAAGTCTTTCTTAAATTTTAAGTAAACTTAAATTAATAAATTAAGTTAAATTTAACCATATTGCATCATATCGCATATCATTCGATTCGGCTGATCACCAGGAACACAATGATACCATTTCTTTAAGCTCTAGCGTCATTATGTGCCAAGTTATTGGCAAAAACGTCATTTGACCTCAGTTGACCTCATTTGACCTGACCCATGGATAAGTACACCAAACAAAGAAGCACCAAGTGACCTGCTGTTAAGTACTGTGGTTTCAAAGCACAAAAGTGATAGAACGAAGCGGATATCTCCAGTATTTTCCGAATTTAGTATTTTCCCATAGGCTTAACATTACGACGTAATGACCTCTAACTGACCTCAGGTCAGTGACCTCAAAAAACCCGAACTATATGTTATACAACTCGGTGAACTTAGCACATCCTGAAAGTTTGAAGGAAATCAGTGCAAAGCTGTGAGCTGGACAGGTGCAAAAAGAAAATTGAAATTTGACCATGACCTTGTACCGGTTTTTCTGACCTGGTGACCTGACCCAAGGTCACCCAGACCTGAAATTTTCAGGTCATATGTAAAAAGGTTGCCCCATAGGCTGTGCCAAATTTGGCCGCGCTGCGCGCCGCCGTTTTTACGCTATCTTCGAAAAACCTTAGGGGGGGTCGCATCGACCCCCCTGCCAGGGCGAGGGTTAAAATTGGGTATAATCGGCTTCGTCTCGTGACGGGCAACACACTCGTTTTTTCCGCGAAGCTCTAGCTCGATCAGGGGCCAAACGCGAGGGGGGTCGTACCAACACCCCTTTGTGCCGTCGAAGGACGCAAAATGGCTTGTGCCGGGGAGGGTTAACCCGCGCCCCGCTGGGGGGGGGGCAGAATCTGCCCCCCTCCCGTTTTTCGCCAATAACTTCTAAACGCGTTACGCCAGCGACGATTAACTTTAAGTACCTTATCATACATCAATTTGACACGTTCCCTGAAAATTTGAGCGAAATCCGTCGGAAATTTTTTGAGAAATTGACGTTTTAGTGACGTCATGTTCGCAATTTTCGCCTCAAAAACGGTAAAATTTCAAACGCCGCTAACATCTTCATTTTTAAAGGAATCAAGACGTAACAAAAAAGGTTATACGTGATTCTACTTTGTCTATCAAATGGCTATCTCGGTTTTCTGAAATTAATGGATTTTGGCCAAAGTTTTTCCAAAAAACTGATTTTTTTGGGAAAATATTTATAAAATCCAAAATTTTGAGTTTATCGAAAAAACCGGAATATATGTCAAAGAAGTGGTCTATGTGCACCTACATACCAATTTTTAGAAGAAT